GTTGACCCCATTTTTGAGGTTCCCGTACCGTTTTGTCAGATCCACCTGAGGATGATCAAAAAAAATCTGTGTTTTCTGTTTCTGGTTGAGAGGAAAACCTGAAGAACCCCAACACCAGAATGTTAAAGATGTTAGCTTTCACCTGTAAAAGGTTCCTCAGGAGGTCCTTCAGGTCTGAGCTGAAGTGAGACGGAAAACGCACCTAGAGACAAAATAACAGGAGCAATGAAGAAAAGCAATGGGACCACAGCTTCAGTAATGGCCAGGAAAACTTTCTGCTGTCTCTTTGATTTGTTTCAGGCTGAAAAACACCTAGAAGCTTTTGTTAGAAATCAACACATTTCTGACAGGAAACTTTTCGGATTTTTGACTTTGCCTATCGTCAGAACTGGTAGACATATATCGGTTCATTTCTATACTAGGATACAGTCTTTTTAGTACAAAACACACATTTGCGCCAGATCTTCATGGTGGCTCTTCTAACAACCAAAAATCAGCCTCTTTTGCTTTTTTTTTCTTTGACATCCCCCTAATGTTCTTATTTTTATTAAAAAAAAAAAAAACAAATAAAACCTGTCATAAAATATTCAAGTGTGTGTCATCGTTGCTCTGAATGGGTTAATGACTTTAAAACCAACTTCATTATTGTAACATCTGGAATTTTGTATTCCTCCATGTGAGAACGCTTTGCACAATGAAGAATCTAAAACAGAAGAAAGTTTCAGCTTTGTCTTCAGATCTGTGAATGAGTAAGGAATCACTTTTTCTCAAAAGTGCAACAAGAGAATAAATGGTAAATGGCCTGTATTTGATATAGTGCCTAGAACCGCCCCAAGGCGCTTTACAACACAATCAGTCATTCACCATTCACACACTGGTGGTGATGAGCTATGCTGTAGCCACAGCAGCCCTGGGGAACAGAGACAGAGGTGAGGCTGCTGTATACTGGAGTCACCGGTCCCTCCGACCACCACCAGCAGACAAGGTGGGTTAAGTATCTTGTCCAAGGTCGGAAGCCGGGATCAATCCTACAACCCTCAGATGAGCTATCACTGCCCCTAGAAAACATCTATTATACTTTATTTCTTATTGTTTTAAAACTGTTAAATTGACCTGACCTGAAATCTCACACAAAACACTAAATATAATTAATGGCAACCAATGATCGGAGTCCAACTCACCTTTCCTGATACAATCTTCTCATAGATCTGAATCGGCTGATCAGCAAAGAAAGGAGGATACCCCGCTGCCATCTCATAGACGAGGACACCCAGCGCCCACCAGTCCACCGCTTTGTTGTACCCCTTTTCAAATGAATAGATGCAATTGTTATATAATATACATCAGATTAAATTAAGGAAAATATATTTTTTTAGAATTATTCTTGTTTTATGAAACATTTATGTGCTCCAAGTCCCATAACACTGCAAGTTTAAGCTTTGTGTGCTTTGAGACGATACATGACACCATTCAGGTCTGATTGCAAATGAAATAAACTTTAAAGTCATTTTGTATTATTAGAAATCTGTAGTGCCTTCTTTAGTCAAGACGGTACTTTTATTAAACAGTTCAGGTCTGAGGTGTAAACACGTGAAAGTGAAATCCACAATGGATCACCTTGCTGAGAATGATCTCTGGGGCCAGATATTCTGGGGTGCCACACAATGTCCAGGTCCGGCCCTTTACACGTTTGGCAAAGCCAAAATCTGTAACCTGTAAGATCCAGGTTAAGAGGAGGAGGCAGAAAGTTATTTTTACACAGAAAGAAGAGATGGAAATAAGAGTAGAAGAAAAAAAAAAAAGCAGCACAGACCAATGCATGTGGTTATTTCACTATTAACCACAAGAGGGCGGCACCACCTACACTTGAAGCCAAGCCAGCCAACAAACTGTGAAAGTTGAGTCTGTGACATTGTGACAAACCGAGGAACTCCTTAGTCGTGGGAACAATAGATATCTGTTTGTCTAACCACACTAGATTATGTAGATTACAATGCAGACCCATCACTTCACAGATGTGCAGCAGAGATCTAAAAGAAGGAAGACTTCAAAGACCTGCACCCATGTCTGACCCATGAATACCGCATCCTTGGGTTACCAGAGATCAGCAGATACATCCTCAGAATACACTTACAGTATAACTTTTTAACGTTTTAAATACACACCTGCAACACTTCTTAAACACATTTTCATTTCGCTCTCGGTTAGAGATGAAGCCATGCAAGTGCGACTGGATCAGGTGCACTCACCTGTATGTAGCCCTGCTGGTCTATGAGCAGGTTTTCAGGTTTCAAGTCTCTGTAGATCAGATCCAAAGCATGCAGGTACTCAAAAGTCAGAACGATCTGAGCAGCGTAGAACCGGGCATGTGGTTCACTGTTCACACAGGAAAGCAATGTTTTAGAACGTATGAAACGGTCTACAAAACTTTTTGCTGTGTAAAAAGTCACCAACCTAAATCTGCCAATTCTTCGTAGATGAGAGAACATCTCTCCACCTGGTACGTATTCCATCACCATGTAGAGGTTAGTGTTGTCCTGGAGAAGAGTAAATAGAGGTTAGTAAGCTGTTCTGCACTTTTGGTTTGTCCCATCTGAGCTTCTGTAGAAATATAACTGAGAAACACAAAGGACAAAAAAAGGCAAAGGCAGGATTGTAGAATCATTATCTATGAAGCACAATTTGTCAGGAGGAAGAACAAAAGATATTCAAGCATTTCTGCCCAGACCATTTTAAATTATTTCCTTCCGGATTATTTGAACAACGAAGCTTTGGTTCCACTGAGAGCTCTGGGACGGGATGACATTTTATCTGTTTCTGTTGTAAAAATGGGCCATACAACCAACCAGGACCACACCATTCATAGACCCCCGTCAGTCGTAGATCCAATGGACAACTGAGCAGAATGGCTAGGGCGGAGTGGCTTGCGTCACACAACAGTCCATTGATTAAGGAACAAAAAAAGTTACTGCTTGCGACAAGCAAAACAAACACCTGAGTGTTTGGATTTCAATTATACACAGATGTGAGAAGATGCCAGCAAGTACAGGCAAGGCTTGGTCAGCTTGAGAACTACACTCAACAAAAATATAAACGCAATGCCTTTGTTTCTGCTCCGATTTTTTTTATTGAGATGGACTTAAAGATCTAAAATTCATTCCAGATACACAATATTACCATTTCTCTCAAACATTGTTCACAAATCAGTCTAAATATGTGATAGTGAGCACCTGTGCTTTGCTGAGATAATCCATCCCACCACACAGGTGTGCCACATCAAGATGCTGATCCGACATCATGAGTAGTGCACAGGTGTACCTTATACTGCCCACAATAAAAGGCCACCCTGGAATGTGCAGTTTTGTCTCACAGCAAAATGCCACAGATGCCACAAGCATTGAGGGAGCGTGCAATTGGCATGCTGACAGCAGGAATGTCAACCAGATCTGTTGCTCGTGCATTGAATGTTCATTTCTCCACCATAAGCCACCCCCAAAGGCGTTTCAGAGAATATGGCAGTACATCCAAACATTTCTCACTGCACTGGTAAAACGAAACTGTACGCATTTAGGTGTAACCCCGCCTACCAAGTTAGAGTCCAACCCAACCCATACGGGTCCATACCAACCCACTGCGACCCGCTCTGATCCAGATCATTCCGTCAATGGAATCAAAGCATAAGTCTATTTCAATGTACCGGAACTGTGTAAATACATTGTTGAAGGACCATATGTTAGCATTACCATCTTCCATTAGCAAAAGGTAGTTTATGCTATGTCTGCTAATTTGCTTTATGCTAATATAAATTTATAAATATATAATAAATGGGGAGGCGATGGAATCTAGTTTTGGAGGCAACTTGATTGATAATGATTAAAGTAACATAAAAGTCTAAAGTGCATGAGGGTAGCGCCCGGACCGTTGACCCATCATTCTGACTTTTGACCCATCACTTCACAGATGTGCAGCAGAGATCTAAAAGAAGGAAGACTTCAAAGACCTGCACCCATGTCTGACCCATGAATACCGCATCCTTGGGTTACCAGAGATCAGCAGACACATCCTCAGAATATACTTACAGTACAACCAACCAGGATGTGAGGTTCTACCTGTGAGTACGAGTCCTGACTGAAGAACTAGTGAAATATTTAGGGAACAAGAAAACATTTTAAACACAACAGAGATGGTTGAGTAAAACCGTATATATGTCGATGAGTAAAACCAATATTTTGGCAAAAAGTGATCATCCACCATGTGAATGTTGTAGAGTTTACTCTGCACACTGGAATCACCTCTGTGCTATTCAGTGGAGGTTCCGAAAATGACCAATCAAATTAACCTATGAAGCTTATATCATATATATAAATATCCCGGATACTTATATATCGATCTAAGTTCATACATCAACCTGTTTGATCTAATTTTAATCCAAAGATTAATGTTTAATTTAGATAATTAAATTTAATAGCAAACGTTATTTTAAATCAGAAGCTAGGATCTTTGCTACAATGTACATTCATTGCTATACCAGGGCTCTCATCTATCAACCGTACTTATGAATAGATCTGTGCGTATTTCATGCATTGGAACAATTTTAGACATTTTGTGGTATTTACCATTTTGTACTAGTGCGTAGAAATGTTCCTGAATATAAGAACAGCTCCGACCATGCGTACGAACAGCATCTAGGTAGAACTGGAGAACCGCAATCCTGAAGATCTCAGTCATCCACACTTGTCCCTCATCCACAAATTATTTTACCCAGTAAATTGGAGGAAAATCAGCCTTATCACATAGCTGGTGTTAGAACTTATAAGACACCTGTGACCAACAGGAATCTGACATTGTAGCATGTCTGATCTTATCTTATTAGAGGATTTGGCAGAGCGTGCACTCTGGAAGGAACGTGTACTCTGTGAGCTCACTAACTGCCTCCAAAGGAGAGCCTTCTGGAGGTATGCCGTGATTTGGGACCCTTTGCAGAGCGACAGACACACCACACAAATCTGATTCCAGTCCATATTCTATTTTTGATAACTACAAGAACCCCCAGAACCTCCTCTGCTCCCCAAACACACACACACACACACGTACGCGCGCACACACACGTACGCGCGCGCACACACACACACACACATTTCCAAACAACAAAACTAACTACAGACAGAACATGCATACAGTAGTTTACACCACAATATAAAGTGGAAATGACAAACCGTAGTCAACTTTGTGCTGAAACATCCTTTACTTCTGACAGGGACTTCTCCTCTGTCCCAATTGCATTTACAAGCTCTACAACCTGCTTGGTTCTCTTACACTGTTGTTCTACTTTGACAGCCAATGCCTCACTCTCGCTGTCAACAAAGTATTTTTTTAGGGAGGAACACAGAGAATCCCCTCATGAGCTGAGGATGTGGTGTGACCAAATATGCCTAATCGAGGGCGTTTCTGCATTTAAATGATGGCAAACGGACACGAGCACCTGGGTACACACATGTGGGCTTTACCAACACTTGATTGCGAAGAAACATGCACCACCACGAGTGGCCACCACTTGTTTCATAAATCAGGATTTTGATCATTCGTGTGAACATTCTAAATTTCATTCGTAGGATGGAAAATAGGACATTTTCTACGAGCATTTGATGAATGATGTGTGTAAGTTGTCCAATACGGCAGCGCCGCAGTCTCCGTGGCTAAGAGAAGCTGTTACAATCTATGGCAGGAATAGACAACTCCCTTTCCCAAGGACCGGTATCCAGCATGCTTTAGTTATTTCCCTGCTCCAACACAGTTGATTCACCAGTTCAGCAGCTCATCAAGCGCTGCAGAAGCTGTTAACCGTCTACTGATCCAAATCAGATGTGTTAAAGCAGGGAGACAACTAAAACATGCTGGATACCAGCCCTCGGGGAAGGGAGTTGTCTACCCCTGGCCTATGGTGTGGTTTACACTGAATGTGTGGCAGTGCATGTCGGACACACCCCAGAAGTGTATTTTCACGTCACTTGGCTAACACTTGGGTCCAATTTTTAATGCGCCATGCTTCCAGAAAGTGTTTAGCTCGCCTGTTAACTTAGGGCTAAACAGGAAATCACACAAATTTCAAATTAAAAGAAAAATGCAGATTTGCGATTGCTTAACTTTGTAAACATTACACCATTGCTGGTGGCCAAAGTGCTCATTTGCTTCCTGCATCTTTTTACAAGAGCAACAGTGTGCTTTTGAGCATGCTGTTAACCTGGTGGTGGAGAATCACATTACATGTAACACTGGCATCTTCACCCATAGTTGATATATGATATAAATATGATCTTGTAATTCTGTGATTTTAAGATCTCACATAAGTCCAGCTACACGGACCATGGTGCAGCTGCTCCACGTCTGATGCACTCCCAGTAGGGACTGATGCACCGCGGAGATTGCAACAAAATTGTGTCGCTGCCGTAACGGGCCTCTCCTGCACCCGTTGAAAACTGGGGGCGAGTCTCTCGCTTTGTCCAATTCTTTCTTTACTTTTTGCTTCTTTAACTTCTTGAATTGAGTCATGTTAAAGCTAAAATTAACATTAGGGTTAGGGTCAACCCTAACACTAGCAGAAGCCCAAGATGCTGAACACAACCATAAAAAGCACTAAATAATCAACAATAATAAAAAAAAACAATAAAAGGATAAAAACATAATTAAAGGGCATAAAAAACAAGTAAAAAATAAAACTGTTAAAATCAAGACAATATATTAATCTGTCCAAGATTATAGCAACGGTTGGCCTCTGTTTGAATTCTAAAGTCATTTTCAGGAACTCAGAAGCTCCGTCACATCCATTTGAGTTGTAGATGTGTTCATCCTGGACTCCTCCATCTGTGTGCTGAGCAACACACATGGAAGGTTAATAGGTTTATTTAAGGCGCCAAGGATATTCAATCCCTGAGAAACTAGGTACATCTAAACAGCTTAACCTGAATAAGGACATAATTGGAGTATGTTCATCATCTGGGTTAGTCTGTGAAGGCACAAACAACCACTGACAAACGCTCACGTGTCACACATAGCTAACTGGGCTCCATACGGCGGATCGCACACCCCTAACAGGATTGGCAATAACAACAGAGGAGATAAGGTTTAGATCAGAAAATCATCAGGACCTGCAGAGAAGACTAACAAGACCAAAGAGTTTCTCGTCAAAACTATAGAAATTTGTTAGAAAATTCTATCAACTTGGTTATTTAGACATTATGACCAGAAATGTTGACATTTTAAATAAAACATCTATTTCTATATTTAAATTTGGAAAAAAGAATCTAAATTATTAGGTATCCTTTGCCCGATATGACTTCAGGATACCTTCACATTGAGAGTCTAGAGTGGAATCAGCCATCTTACTTATGGATAAATAATTCTTTGTTCGTCTACAGGTATTCAGCTGGCCTAAGCCAGCATTTCACCAGGCTGACACTGTGAGAAAATTTTGCTAACTTTTTGCAAGAATTCATTTGTAAAAACTGACATTTTTATACATTTCCCCCCCAAAATTCAC